AAAAATTAACTGATTTAGATTTTTGGGTTTTTTCCCCCAACTCATCCTCCTCACTATATAAAATCTTTATTTAAGAGGGACAAAGGCATAACCACCTTCCACTCCAGTTGCATTTTTTTCAAACATAATTTCTACATTTCTTTCTTGAATATACTGGTTCTTGAGCTGGTTCTACCCATGTCTTCTTCCTACTTCATGTGACAAAACAAAGCTTGGATAAATGATGCTAGAAACTGTATTATTCTTTATAGCAAGCAAAGAGAAAAATATCTGTAACACTCTCCTGTTCTGATCTTAGTTTTAGTGATCCTTGAGTATTACCATTTTACAGTGGTCTGCAACAGGTAATATAGAATAGTTGGTATGAAACAAAGCCAATTTGCAGCACCAAGCTGCATATGGGAGGATTCTGATAAGTGTGTGGTTTAACTCTGGTGTCACCTGAAGAATTGGATGTCTTTATAAGGGAAGTATTTCCAAGGTACAGTTATACTGCAATAAATAAAAAGTGTTCAAAAAACCTAAAGCCCCTAACTGATGCTTAATTAAAAAAAAAATTAATCTGAGAAGTACTTTTTTTAACATCCCTTCCTGCTCTGGTGATTCTTTCTTTTAAGCTTGCTTTTACTACTGTGATAGCTAAAAACTGAATGTGCTTCTAATAATTTAATATAAAGGGATAAAGATTTAAGGTATTTTTTGGAGAAGTTGTTGTTATCCATTAAGAGTGCTTTATGGCTCTGGGGTTCATAGATAAAGAATAAGAGACAACTTGTTAACACTGCACAGAGAAATAGAAAGTTCACAAAAGTAGAATTTTGCTTCTAGAGAGGTTTAAATGTGGAACTTCAGTATGTGCTCATGAGTTTGGGGGAAAAAGCCAAAATACCTTTACATTCCATTTTAACTCACATTGTTAATCAGAGGAACTTCTGAGACAGGTGGCAGGATGTCTCATCAAAGTGAAACTAGAGTCACCCTGCTGAGGTTCCACCTGCTATGTAAAAGTCCTACCACCTTCTTGCCAAGTGGAAAGAATTAGCTGACTCCAGCAGATTTTGGGTCTGTATCAGGTAAAAGTGATTCATTAGGCTGTGAGATTGAGGACTAGAAACTGTACACTCCACAACTAGAACTAGAATCTGCCTTAAAATTGTTTAAGAAAATTAATTTCCTAACCATGGTAGTGAAAAATTGTCCCATATTCTAGTGTAAATTTCCCTTCCCAAGGATTTCAGAGCACTAACAAACTAAGGCTCTGCCCCTTGGTCATGGGATGAAGAAGTTGTTGGAGTCACAAGAGGTATTCTACACCTAAAAATGAGCTTTTTGTGGTGAAAATGAAATTAGCTGCTGGCCTTTCAGTATAATTTGGGAAATGTACTTCAAATTGTGTGTACCTGCTGCATTTAGCATTTGTAAAAAGTTAGCACTCTGTAACAGCACTCCCCTTACTAGTTTTTCATCTCTCTCCCTAGTAATTTAATTTTTTTCTCCCATTATGTCATGGCTTAGCACAGCTCAGGTCACAAATTGCTCAAAATAAAAATGAGGCTGATAGCAGTAGGTGCTATAACATGGTTAGAATTGCAATATAAATAAAAATAACTCCTAACTGTACAAGTTATGTGCAGATTGATCACATTTTACCCACTGGTATCTCCAGTGGATGCTGAGCATGGGACTGTGTAGTTTTCTTCAATTTAAGATCATAAACCTGTAGCACTGAATATCATGGGCTTGAAAGCAAGTAAACCAGCAGTAGTTTCCTCATTGCATTAAACAATTACTTGAAATGAACTTAATTTCACATCACAGTAAGTACAACTGAGATCAGCACGAGTGTATCAATGAAAGAGCCCATCTAATGTGGCCTGATTTTTGTCCAGTTTGCAAACATTGTATCTAAGAACTGTTTGTATTGAAAGTACCCTAATATTTTGTGGGTTAATAATCAGATTTATGTCCATAAAATCACGAGTGTATCAATGAAAGAGCCCATCTGTTTTGGCCTGATTTTTGTCCAGTTTGCAAACATTGTATCTAAGAACTGTTTGCATTGAAAGTACCCTAATATTTTGTGGGTTAAAAAATCAGATTTATGTCCATAAAACAGTATTTTCCTACCAGACAGAAAAGACCCACCACAAGATCTCCACTTTTCAGAAGTCTTCTGAACAATTTTATTGTCTTTTAGAATCCTTCTCTAGGTGACATCCTCCAAGCAAAGGCAACATACAGTTAAATGCATAATTTGGAAAGCCATGCCTTGGTTTCTGGATCATCAGCTTCGAGTCACAGAATGATTTGTGTTGGAAAGGGGCCTTTAAAGGTCATCTAGTCCAAACCCCCTGCAATAAGCAGGGACATCTTCAGCCAGATCAGATTGCTCAAAGACCCGTTCAACCTGACACATTGAATATTTCCAGGCATGGGGGCTTCTTTCCCTTCCCTGCACTGCACACACTTTTGGCCCATTTGCATATACCTAGACTTTTAAAATGTTTTTGATTTATGGAACTGGATTTTGGAATATAAATCCTTGACTAAATTTGTAGGCAATATAATTGTTAGTAGATATAACAACTGTTGCAGTCACGGGAGCTAGCAACTGCACTCAGCGCTTGACAACCATCAGCAATCTGCTTATCGTCTCAATTTCTCAACTAATCTCTATTATTGTCAGTTAGGAATCAAAACCTTAGGGAAAAAAAGATATATTAATTATTTCTGCATTTCCAGATCACTCTGGAAGGTTGCTATGGGCACAGAATATTGTAACTCTTCTTGGCATCCCCCAGACAATGCTGGCAGTGGCTGTGCCCCAAGCTCCATGTTAGCACGCAGCTGATCCAGAATGTATGAAGTCAAGAAAGAAAAACGCAACAGACACTGGCAGAATGTCTCACACCTTACAAGCTCATTTGTGAATGTTTACTACTTCTGGGGAAAAAAACCAAAAACAACAAAACAAAACCCAACAAAACCAAAAACCAACAAGAGGGCTAGTGAAATAAACCAGGGAAGACAAGCGTGAAGGAATACAGGACAGAGCACCAATATGCAGGACAGCTCTTCTGAGCTCTGGGAGGGGGTGCAAAAAGGATGTGATAGTTACAAAGTATCCATCCTTAACAGCTCTGGCTTTAACCGAAATCACAGTATCGTCGAACACACTCCTACTGCAATTTGTACTCCACACGCTACCTTCCCATCTCTGCCATTTCGTCTCCCAAGCACACTGAAACATTATCGGTGTGCAGTGCAAACTTTTCAAATGTACACAGCTTCCCCAGATGAGTCTTTAAGATACTACAGCTACGTCAAATGCCTGAAATTCCGCATCCATCCGAGTTCACCCGTTTACGTGCACTTTTGGGAAGGTTCTGTTAAGCCACAAAGGAGGAACAGACAAGGATGCTTGGACGAGAGCGGGCCTCTCTCTCTAGTCCTCCTGTCACCCAGCAAATACAGAGCTCTCCTTTTTCCCTCATAATAGAGAATTTCTTGAGATTTCTGTCTTTTCTAGGGATCTTTGCATTAAAACCACTAAGTCTGTTCCCGGGCAGGATGCGCTGGCGCTGCGGGCGGGACCAGCCTGTTGCGGGCAGCAGCGGGGGCTGTGGGCGGCCCTGTCCGCGGCTCGGCATCGCAGCCGGGGACAGAGGGCGCGGGGCAGGGACGCCGTCCCGGAGGGATCAGGCGGCAGTTCAGGGGTGCCCTGGAACGCCGCCCCGTGCCCGGTCCCCGCCGCGCTCCCTCGCGGGAGGCAGGAGCGCCGCGGCGGCGCTCAGCGGGCGCTGCTGCTCCGCGCTCACGCCCATCGCCGGGGTAAACGCGGCCGCTCCCGCGCCTGCCGTCGCTACCGCCGCCCCCCGGTTCCCTGCGCGGCGGGGACAGCCCCGCGCAACGATGCGGGGACGCTGCCGAGCCCGTCCCGGCCGCTCCCGGGGCGGGGGCGCGCGGGAGGAGGCGGCGGGGCGGGGGCAGCGGCGGCGCTGGGAGGTCCGGGGCGCGCATGCGCGCTCCGGCGCTCCGTGACGGGGGCGCTCCCGCGGCACCGGGGCCCGGCTCGCGCTCCCATAGGCTGCTTCCCCCGGCAGGCGCGCGCCCGCGGCGCGGCTCTTCCTACCGCGCTCGCGGGGGCGCGCGCTGCCCGGGCCGTGCGCCGCTGTCACGGCTGCCCGCGCGCCGCTCCCCGCCCTCGGCGCGCGCCCTGCCCGCGCCCCGCGCCCCGTCCCCGCCAGCTCCGCTCCGCCGCCGGCGGGTTCCTGCTTCCGTCTGCTCCCGCCGCTCCCCGCCCGCCAGCCCCGCCGCCCCCCCGCCCGGCACCCGTGGCAGCGGCAGCGCGGGCTCCGCCGGCGGCGCCGGCACTCCGGTAAGGGGATGCGGGGGCAGAGCGGCAGCCGCCGCGGCGGGGAAGCGGGTACCGAGGCGAGACCGGGCGGCTCCGGCGAGCGCTCCCCATCTCTCCCTCGGGCCTGGCGCCGCCGCTTTTGCGACTCGGGTGCTGCTCAGCAACCGCTGCCGCCGCCGCCGCCGGGGTGGTGATGGCGGGGAGGGGGCCGGTCCCTGCCGTGTGCCGGGGTCCCCCTGGGCTTCCGCACCTGAGGGTCGCTGCTGGGGCCTGAGGCCGCCGGAGAGCGCGGCGGAGGAAGGGGAGGCCGGGGCTCGGCGAGCGGCCGGGGCATCACCGTGGGCGGCGGGGCCGGGCCGGGCCCGGGAGGGAGATGCGTGCGAGCCCCGGGCGGCGGCGTTGCCCCGGGCGCGGCGCGGACAGCGCGGTTCCCGCAGCGCGGAGCGCGGCTGCCGCCGTCCCGTGCGCCGCGGCCGCAGGGCAGGCGCGGGGGGCGGCCTCCAACTTTCCTTGTCCCGGGAACTGCGGCCGCCCGAGGGGACGCCCGCTTTTGGCAGGGAGGAATACACGGGGAGCGGGGGCTGTGAGGACGGACCTCACGCTTTGGGGCCGCCTAGTAGCTCGAGGAAGTGCTTGCCTGACACGGGTACAGAGCCTTCGGTTGTTGCCCGGGGCTTTTCCCACGGCGACCTTTCCTGTTTTTCGGCACAATTGGCTTTGGTCGTGGATCCTGTTACTGGTAAGGCTCTGGCGATTTAGTTAGTGCTTGATGCATGCTCAGGTCTTTCACACGTGTGCGCAAGTAGTGCGCGCAGGGTGTTCTTGGTGCACTGCAAAGACTGACCCTCTGCTTTCAGAAGCTCCTGGTTGAGGGTACAAGAGGCAGAAACTATAGTGCTGCGGTGCAGAGTGTACCAAGGAGCCTAAGGGCAAAGGCATGAGCTGTAAAATTGCTTGTTGAAGATTGTAACTTCCTCGGGGCGGTACCTGCTGTCCTTGTGCCCTCAGCGCACACACGGTATGCTGTGATGCACATGCTGTGTGTACATGGATGTGGCAAACAACCCTGTGCTCACAACATTCGTGTGCTTTATCTGTGATCTTCTATTAGCACTTGGCGCCTCTTGTTCTGTGTGTGTGTGTTTGTATACTGAAACATACACATCAGCTGAAAATTGTATGTTTCAGTATACATGTGTACATATATATATATATACATACTCTTTCTGTCCCCAAGTAGAGGATCTTAATGTCTAGGCCTGAAAGTTATTGGTGTAAATACTTCAGAAGGAGTGAGCATGAAAAGGTTTTTTGATTTTTTAGTATTAATCTTATTTATTTTTCCAAGTAATTTTCCACTGCAAGTCATCAAAAACTTCAGAGAAGTCTGAACTGCAAAAGCAAATAAGTGGCCAACTTGCCTGTGCTGCTGGTGCTTGGGGTGCTTTTACAGATGACTGTTACAATTCCTTTCATTATTAAAGAAAACTAGTTATGGGGAGTTGGTGACTCTGCTTTGATGTATTTCCAGTAGCATCTGTTTCTCCGGTTATTGCAGGTATGCTTACTGCCAGATTTTTAGTGATGCTTGTTGGGGTTTTATATGAATATTTACCTTAAGCAGGCACACTAGCATATTGCAAAGTTTGCATATTTTCCCAACTACATGTAATAAGACAGCCTTTTTCGAGTTTGGAAGTACAATTAATTACTCATATTTTCTGAGCAAAAAGTTCAACAATGAGAGAAGGGCAAGAATCAACTCGGAGTGTTGAATCAGGTAAATTCACTCTTTCAGTGATGTAGTTGCCAGGACATTTGACAGCTGGGAAATACAGAAGGTCAGTTGGGAGTTGTAGCTTTCTTTTCCTTTTAGCCCATTGTCTTCATTTGTTTAAAATTTTGGTGGTTTAATTAGCTGAACAACTGAAAGTACAGTAGTTCTAGGAAATACAAGAAAAAAATATGTTAGCTATGCATGCTGGAGTAGAAATAGAGCTACTTCACCTTAAGTGAATTGGTAAAGGTGGTACTAAACCACATAGGGGCTTCCCTTTGGTTTGGCATCTCTGGTTTATGATCACTTTATTGCAACTTCAAATAGAGACTTGATTGTATAATTGAATGCTTATATATTACAAATATTGCACACCATTCATATTGTGGAAATTTTTTTTAGATCCATTTCTGTCTTTGTGTGGCTGTATGGAATAGGTGCTTTATCTGTCAGATCTTTTCTAAACCAAATCATTTTCCCAGGCTTGGAATGTATGCAGTTAAAAGTAATAAATGTTAATTTTATTTATAGTTTATCAAATCAGTCTGTTCATTGACATTTCAATGGATAAAGAAGAAGAAGGTTTGGATTTGAGTATTTATATCTTGTTGCAGTCAGAATTTAAGTAAAAAGTAATGACTATAATCTTAAACTGGTCTGGAGGGGGAGCTAGTGTCAAAGCAAAACTGACTTAATTAAATCTTGTTGTCTGGTCATGGAATATGCTTCTAATACAATAAGGAAAGCAAATATAGATGAGGCATGCTATGTATGATTGCATTAATATGCATCTCTTGTATGATGAAAATAATCTGAAAGTGATGTGTGATTTTTTTTGGGAAATAGAGTATGTGTTTCGCTGTTGTGCAACAAAAACTGTATCCGAAGAACTTTGAAGTAGCAAGATCAAGCTCTTACACATCATGAAATGGCACAATCAGAGATTCTTGTAGTCATGTAATGTGGCCTATAAATGTAGGGTTAAATTTTACATTTTTCCCTACAATGTTGCTTTCAGTTTATAGCATAGAATGGCATAGATGGTGTTCATTGTGCCACACTGAATCCTTTTTCTTAGTATCAAATAATGTGTGGCCTCAATATTTGTTTATGTGCTGTTCATACTGTACTTTCTTAATTTCCTCTTTTGCTGTTTCATTACCTTCAGTCTCTAGTGCCTGCATGTTTCACTAGTAATATTTTCACATAAGTCTCCTGAGATATATTATGTATTCCTTTGTGTTGAATATCCAATTTAGGAGCTTTATGATATGATTTTTCAAAATAATCTATCAGTGTTTTAATGATTTATGTATTCCAAGATGTTTTCCCATAAAGGTCTAATTTACTAACAATAATCTGGCTTTTTTTTTCAGTTGTTTTTAATAAACCCCTCAACAGGGATCCATGAATGCCTATCTAGGAAAGACCTCATTGCTTGATTTGTAGTATGGTGTGTGTTGATTTAGACTGCAGGGATAAATACTTAGATCTGTTGCAGTGTTAACCGCAAGGTACTAAGTCCATAATTTTGATGAAGAGTGGATTCCCCATTAAAAGTTTGTAGGGGGTTTTTGATATATTTTTTTCCTTTAAAGATGATTTGTGTGCAAGAAAGAAGGAAAAAAAAAATCCAGGACAGTATTAATTCCCTCACTTTTTCTACAATACCTGTCTTATTAACAACACACTTGCCAACGTTTGCAGTGCATATGGCAAGGTCCTTATATAATTTAATGTTGTTATTTATTGTTTTTCTAACACATTGTTCAGTAACACAGCAAGAGTACCTTAAGCACAAGGGCACAGAGAACAAGATCAAATAACCTTTAATTTTTGTGATGTGACTATATATATTTTTTTTAAAAATGGGTAGGTTTCTGATAGTCAACTGTTTAAAACCCCCTGAAATTCTTTGCACATAACCAAAATATTCAACATTCTAGATTAAAAAAAAAAGTCAGCAAACCTGATGGACAGGAGGAAACCCTCTGTCCTGTGGGATTGCCCATATGACTAACACGCCTATAGCATGAAAGTCTCTAAAAATGCTGAAATTTGTCAATTTTGCCATGCAACTTGTGCCACTTGAGCTAGCTGGGAATGTGATACTAGTAATTTGTTATTCAGCTGTACTCCAAATGATGTTGTCTGTGTATGGTTTTCTGAGATTTTGAAGTGTTTGAAAGTAGAGGTGAAACTCTGCAATCTTGGGCTCTATTCCAGGCTCTGGGAGTGAATATATTCTGTTGGATGCTGATTTTTCTGCTTATTCCTTGTGTGATATCCCTGTCCCAATCTTCTTTGCCCTATCCTGAAATTTTTATCACAATTTTTATCTATTTTCCCCATGTAAACAGTTTGTTTCTTGCTAAAGGGCTTCTTATCTGGCATCCAGTACTATCCAGTGTGCATAGAGGTTCTAACTAATAAGTTGTTTATCTGAGCTTTTTCCAGTGTTTGAATCCTTTCACAGTCCTGTCTGCTGGTTTCAGGTTTCTGTCCACTATCCTCAGTTTCACATCCAGTTCTCTGTCATAAAAAGGATCTCTCTGTGTTGTACATTTCCACTGGCTCCTGTAGTTCTGTATTCTGTAGTTTTCCCCCTTCAATATTGTGCTTCATTCTTCCCGACTTCCCTCATCCGAATTTGTTTTTTCCTTTCATGCCATCTCAGACTTGGTCTGTATCCCAAACTCAAGATTGTGTTCAGTGTGTCAACTGTATCAGCTTTTTCCCATGTTGCAGTTCTTTCTTTAGTCAAATTGTATTGGTTCCTCTCTTTTCCCTCCTTTTGCTCCATGGATAGCTTATGTTTTCATACTTGTTGGATCCAGCAGAGGTATCACTGAGAATAAATTTAGATGCCAGAGATCCATCCTGATAATCAGGAAAGCAAGCTGGCCTATCCAGAGATGACTTTGTGGGGAACTCATGTCTGAGCTGCAGTGCAAAAATGGGATATACAAACAGGGGCAGCTGGGACAGGCTACAAAGGAAAAATTTAGAAAAATTGTCCTGGTATGTAGGGATGACATCAAGAGAGCCAGTGCTCACCTAGAGATGATGCTTAGGAAGGAGATCAAGGGCAGCAAGAAGAGTTTCTTCTAGTACTTGAGTAGTGAAAAGCAGGACAAGTAAGATAAGAGCTTCTTTTGGAATGTGATGTGTCATAGTGACAGTGGATAGAGATAAAGCTGGGGTACCCTGATCCTTCTGTTCTTTAGTGAGGCATCACCAGCAAGGTCTCCCAGGCCTCTGTGCTTAGTAACAAGGGTTTGAGGAGAGCAGCTGCCAGCAGTGGCTGAGGATTCAGCTGGGGATTGTTGAGATGACTCAAATCCTACCCGTGCATGGGGCCAAAAGGAGGCCTGTGAACGTTGATAGAGCTGGCCAGTGTCACAGCGAGGTCCTTCCCTAGCATCTTTGAAACCCTCTCAATGGCTGAACAAATGCATATGTTGCACCCTCCAGAAAAGGCCAAAATACAGCCCAAAGAGCTACAAACTGGGTAGCTTCCTTTTTGTCCCTGGGAAAATAGGGGCATGGGTTTTCCTGGAACACATTTCTGGTCACAACAAGTAAGTGAATGGGAGCAATCAGCATGGATTTGTCAAAGGTAAATCATGCATGACAAGGCAGATTGCCTTCTATGGTAAGATGACTGATTATTTGGAAGAGGTAAGAACAGTGGATTTAATTTTCCTGGACTTTAGCAAGATTCTCAACTCAATCTCCAATGATATTCTTGTATCCAGATTTGGACATAACAGATTACTGGAGAACTAGAAGATATAAAAAAGACTGGATGGATGGATGGATGGATGGAAGGATGAATAGATGGATTCAGAAAGGAGTGCTTAGTGTGTCATATAGGGAGGTTGGTAACAAGAGGGGTGCTGCAGGAATTTGTGCCAAATAGTGACCAAGTGTGCTCTTGTGCTTGCAGATGACAACAAACT